ATTGATAGAACTCATGACAAAATAAGATACTTATGTCTGTGAAAAAATTTAGTTTTATTAATACGAGTAATATCTAACCTACTACCTATTTAATTTTATTATTTATCTAGCTGTTCCCCGCAACTTCGCTTGTGTAAATTATACCTACGGGAAGCTACAGCATGCGTGGGTAAATAGCCTATGTCAACCGCGCATGTTGTAGCTTCCCTTAGGTGATTTTTTTTAAAGTCGGTCTAGTAGTTTCAGAGGCTATTCAATGTAAATATACAAATAATCAAATCTTTATAATATCATTGTATGTATATATCAGTTTTTGAACTCAACACTGTTTCTGGTATATCGATATTATAAGATAAAATAAATATTGTAATAAGAAGCTCGATTGCGCAGTGGTTATCGCGTTCGGTCTGTGATGCGGAAGTTAAGCAACCATCACAAAAGCCGGTCATTAGGGTTCTGAACCCTAATATCCCGGTTTCGAAAGTACCGGGAATTCCCGTTTCTTTTGTCAGTAAAATGGAACCGGGAAATCAAATTTGATTCCCGGTTCTTTCGGTACTTTCGGGGATTTCATTTTTATTACACGATTCACACTACTATTAACTTATTTACTATTAATCTTAATCTCTTAATCTAACTCGGGTTGCAATAGAAGACGATGACGATGTTCCTTTGGCAGCACTAAGCAGGCAGAGACTTCAAGTGAACATGGAATCTTTATATAAAGAGTCTGACTCGAACAGCGAAGCCGATGGAGCAGAGTTCTTGTCTCAATATATTTACTCTCAAAAGTCAAAAAAGTAGTTAAACTATCCGCAAATCTCCAACTTAAATCGATGACGTCCTGCAAAAGTACGTTAACGCAGATTTTCATAAGGAATATTCACTAACCTGTGACTCAGTAACACGTTGGGGTTACCTCGCTTTTAGGCTAGAACTTGCATTGTGTAAGCATTAATTGATATAAAATCCACAATAAATTCTCAAGCAGATTGGGAACTAATTGGGAAGTTATAAGAAGTTCTTGACATAATCAAAACTGTATTAGAGGCTTTGTGTCGTCGCGGTTCTACATTATTGACAGCAGACGTTGCTATGAAAATTGCATAAAAAAAAATTGCCAATATCGAAAATAACTATATGGCCGAAAAAATGTTCATGATGTTAAAAAAACGATACACAGAACGGCGTCTCAACGTTGCAACTGCGACTCTGAATTACTTGCAAAATTCAGAAAGTTATTTCCTCCAACAAAATGATGAAGATTCATTAGTTTTTTCGCGGGCAAGAAGATAGATAAATAGTTTATTCAGACAACTACATCACAACTTGTACAATACAAATAACAGTTGAGAACAGAATACGTAATGCTATAAGTGATATACCTGTGTGCAGTAATAAGATAAGGGTCAAGGCTCGGTGCATGTTAATCAACCAAGAATGGGTGAAGCACCGATTTTAAGCCAGTCCAAAGTGAGCGGGGCAGATTATTGTCAATGTCATATAAATAAGAAGAATTCAAAAATGTCCAAAATAAAAGATAGAAATGTTCTTAATGAAAAATAATAAAAAAGTAATAGTCCATAGTATACATAAAAGTAAGATAAATAATGATAAATTAGATAACACAGAAGAAGAAGAAGCGATGAAATGTGCAACGCAATGACACTATTGTCATTGCGTTGAAGTTCAAAACATTTGAAGTTTAAGGCGTTCATTGCCTTTTTAAATGCTGAGCTTGTAAAAGCTGTAAGTGAAAAATACGTTAGATCTTCTGCTCATGAAGATCTCTTTACGAATGTTAGGATTGAAATGGCCCTCTTTGAGAATAGAGAAGATCGTGGTCGTTACTTGTCTCGGGCATATGACCATCTATTAACGATTCTGCCAATCAGTGTTGAGCCAGAAAGAGTTTTCTCTTCGGCTGGTTTGCTATGCAACAAAATAAGATCTCGTTTGAGTGACAAAAGTCTAGATACACTGTTGTTTTTAAGATCCTATTATAGAGAAGAGAGAGCTAAAAGCTCTTAAAAAGCTAAACTTTGGTTACACCATATTTTATGAATACTTGGAAGGAGATATTATGTTTCAATATTTTTTGTTAATAAAGTTTAATTTTGTTTTCTTTGAAAAATGTTTAAGATATTTCTAAATGTTTAAGGAATCTAAGGTGCCTAATTTTTACCATTTTATTGACAGTAAATACTTACATAAGTACATAACAACAGCACTGCGATTAATTATAGACTGATTTATATATAATTACCTACTACTAAGTATGAGAATATAGAATAGAAGGAAAAAAAAATCGAATCAAAATTGCTTAAATATTACCTTTTAGTTTACTTTTGAAGCATATCAGTTGTTTTCTATAACAAAAACTAGCAAGGACCGAAAATACCGAAATAACAAAAGTACCGAAATTCCCGGTTCTCAAAAAGAATACTGGTTCCGAAAATACTACCGGTCATAGGATGGGGGATCAATAATTTATTATCTAGACCTCCTCCGTGCTTCTAAACACATATTAAATGATTGTCCTAGCTGCATCTGAAGTCGTTAACACACACTAATCCGCAATGACCCGCGTGGCGGGTAACGGCCGGTTCTCTCTATTCGATTCGATTCCGTCTATAAGGAAGACCTGTGCCCCAATTGTGGGGACATTAAGAGGCTGATGACGGTGATGATGATGGAATAATTAATAGACAGCATCATATACATTGCTAAGATTTTATTGAAATGCGAAACAAATAATACAAGACAACACCCACACGCGATACATCGGGGGCTGGATTTGGGGCACTCCCTGCTGGGATCCACGCCATTCCCCCAAAAGCGACGGTGCACAGAGGGAGTTTAGTAGGTATGCCATCCACGTATTGAGTAGCCTACCTTCCTTCAGGTCCGTGCGAATGGAGAGTCCCACACACCTTGTCAAGCGGCGGGGATGGCGCCTAAAGACAATACAGACAATCCTACAGACAATATGTGTCGGCGACACCTTGCAACAAAAGCGTGAGCCACTCGGTCAGAGTCTGTCGTAACATTTATATTGCCGTTGAAATTAGATGAAGTATTAGCCAACAGGTATATAATAAGATAAGACGAGCACAATTAATAGCCTGTTGGCATTAGATCACCGTAACGCAATGATTGGGTAATTTTTAATTATATATTGATTGCATATTTACTTTGTTATCTAATAGAGAAACAAAACGGTCAAGTGCAAGTTGGACTAGTGCATAAAAAGAAAAAAATACAAAATAGCTATTTTATTTTGGTCTTTAGTTGTTACAGTTCTGTTAACTACTCATCTGTGAAAAATTCAATTGTCTAACTATCACGGTTCATGAGGTAGTTCCTGGTGTCAGACGAACTGACAGACAGCGGAGTCTTAGCAAAATGGTCCCGTTTTTTACCCTTTGGGTACGGAACCCTAAAATAAATTGTCAAATATCTTCATCAGCCTATTAATATTTCCACTGGTGGATATGACACTCCACGAAAGTCCAGCGCGGATTGGTTAGATGCTCATAATTAAAATATAATGAACACTTTTTGTGTTAGATAATTGTTTTAAGGTGATGTTTTAGTACATTTTCGTATTTGGCGAGGTTTATTCTGGTGTTTTTTAACCTTTTAATGTTCATTCGAAAAGCGATAACAGTCTTAATGTCATGTTTTATTTTATAAAAAACAAATTGTGTTAGTCTATAGTGATCGTGTCCCCGAGACATAGGGATATATTTTATGTAGATCTAGTGATAATTAGCTCACTGGAAAGTTGTATTTAGACTAATTCGGAGTGTCATAACATGTAACGACTCTGAGGCAGTTTTGGGCCATCTCCTTTGACTACTTAATTGTATTTCGTACAATAGATTTTAACTTAAAGTTGTTAGGTGTTGACCGGTGCCTCTCTAGCAATAAGATAAGACATCTTAGCGATATTATGGCGATATTTCGTTTCTTTTACTAATTGACATGTGTTTTGGTGGATGAATTTGAGACAAATGACAAAGTTGTTAACACTGTTGTCACAATCATCGTTCTTTACTCTTTCACTTGTCATAATAATAGTACATATCAAAGAAGTAATAAGACGATATATATATATATATATATATGCCGTATACTATCACCAGAATCATGGCTAGAGTTAGTTGTTCGCACTCTAGGTGCATCGTCGCCGATAGCTATAGCTTCTAGCTCGTTTTGTGCGAGCTTACACTTTAGCGACGCATAGCTAATGCGCTGGCAACTAGCGGTAATCAAAATTCGAGACTATGCCGTGCTCTGCTGAGTCGTTTCAAAGTGCTTACCTTATAAAAGGTTTTTACCTTTTAGTTTTGTTGACAATGACGAAAACACGCGAGTAGCAGTCATAATAAATAAAACAAGCTATCCAAATAATAAACACGTAACTTCTACTTTTCAAGATAAAGAGAGTTGTCGTACTAAGTCTTACTATGATCTTACTACGTCAAAACTATCTAGAAAATGTACAAAGGTGTGACATCATACGATATTTTAACCCAACGTACAGGGGTAATTTATTGATTACGTAAAAAAAGTATAGCATTGTGAATGATTAAATATATGAATGTATTATCGATAAATGTCGCTGTGACATTTGAAGCTGTGTGACGTGATACTTTCATGGGATAGAATGTTAGTAGTTGAGATAGATTAATGTCTTACAAATCTTAACTATTTTTTAATACATGTTGTTTGTTGTTCACGTTGCTTATAAAATCAGTTCTAAGTACATTTTTACAGTCTACAAACCTTTGAAGTAAAAAGATCAAACTACCTGTTAATTCCTTCTACCGGAAACGGATACAGAGGCGGTCGTTAAATTGATTCAGTGTCATTGCTATTTTCTTTTAATAGCGATTTTAACGTTTATACTACATTTTTAACAGCAATGTGTGTCTATTTTTTGCAATCAAAAACCACTAAGCAAAAGGATAACTCAAATAATATACGAAACTTACCTGGAGTCCTGAAAAAATGTTTGTTTAACACAAATCCGATTTCAAAATCAAAACCAACACGTAATCAACAAACACTTGACACAAATTAAACATAATATGACATCAAAAAAAAAATTGAAATTAATCCTTTTCGCGTGCACTGTTAGTTTCTGTAAAAAAAAAGTAAACTTCTTTGCGCGCGCACTTTAAACGTTTCGTTTCACTCAGGAAATTGAAAAGAGGCCCGATTCCCTCATAAAAATAAATTTACGTAGAGTTTGGTGGAAAACATCGTGAAATGTGGCGATAAAGTAAACATTGGTCGCGCGCTCAGCACAGGTGCGTTAGACATCGCGATTTCGACTGGCTAATTTTAAACGGCGCGTTTGAATGCAGCATCTATATCGGTAGGGTTGTCGATTTCAGTTATGATCCCTTGCATGTTTTAACTTTTATAATTATATGAAAATTGTGATATTCTTACCTTGTTAGAATTAGAGTAACACGTGCAAAATTTAATTCAAGTAAGACATGGAATCGGAATGTTTATGAAAACACCAAAATGTTCATTAAAACGATTTTAGTAGTATTGAAGATATAAAGGTTTTGCAAATTTCCGCCCGAATATGCAGATTCAGCTTAGATTATCCTATTAGCGTGTATTTCGAAGCACGGAAGAGCTCGAGATGATACATATTTGGTTGTCTATCTTATTATCGGCCCTTGCGAAAGTCGCTAAATTCGCACCTCATTGCGTCATCGAGCTTCATCCTATACCATCGATTTTCTTCAAAATGTTATCAAATAATATAAAAAATTAAAGCAAAATTAATTAATTTGAATAAATGAAATAAGTTGTAACTAACAACAAATGCTGATATTAAATGGTAAGTTCGAGTAAGATCTAGGATTAGATACATTTACAAGAAAATCTGTTTTTAATATTCTTACAGTAATAATTAAAATAAAGATGTGATAGCCCTATTATATAATGATTCGGAAATGAAATCAAAGCGATTTCATTGGCTGAGTAGAGTCATTATCCGATAACGTTTGAGTACAGATGTTTTTAAACGAAACATATTGAAATGAGGCTTTTTTATAAAGGGCTTCTAATTGTGGGATTGATAACTATTACTTTATTATCAATATGACCTTGTTGATGAAGTCTTTTAAAATTGCCTTGTTATAAATCGTATAAAAATAGTTTTTTGAATATGAAATTTTTTCACGACTTTAATTTATTTTATAATAAAGTATAGTGATCTAATAATATTATAAATGCTAGAGTTTGTGAGGATGGATGAATGTGTGTATCAATGTTCATAAAAACTACTGGAAAGAATTTAATGAAATTTTTTTAACATACAGGTTCCTTTTTATCTCGTCACGTGGGTGAAGCTGCTGGTGGAAAGATAGTATTAAAATATTTAAAGAAAATACTGAAAATTGAGATTGAAATCTCTTAAATAAAAGTGGACGACGTGTTCATGAGCAGTAAAGTCCATCAGTTTTATTATAAAAATTAAAAATATATTAGGCATTATCACACGCCAGGTCAGCTAATTATGAAAATACAAATTATTTTTAATAAAAAATGATGAAAAAATCCACTTGCGCCGGGTACTGAGATGGGACACGAACCCACGAATTTCGTTAAGAATATTTTTTTGCAGCATAACATTTTGAAAGAAAAATTGATCAAATATACTAAAAATTATTTATTATTAATGTTTTGAATAATGGTTATTTTTACAATTAAAATTATAATTTTCTCATATATAATGACTTTTTGGTGGAAAGTCATTAGTGTCAACCCTAACGACTGACTCGATTACGTCGGTAATCGATGCGCCCGATACATCGGAGTCGAGTCATCATCGATAACGCTGTGCAGATGTATTTTTATAAACAAATTGGCCTGCGGAATTCGACGCTGCGATCCTAATGAATGAAAGCGAGGCCGGCACAGTTTCTAGAGCGTGTATTACGATCGCGCATGTGAAGCAACGAATGGTTTGGATTAGTTTGAGATGGGTGTGGAAAATATGACACTTGTATTTTGCTTGAAATAATAAGTAGACCAGAGAAAGAAAAAAAGTGGAATGAAAAAAAAGGGTTATAAAAAATAGTATGTTATAAACCGGCCAAGTAGGAGTCGGACTCCAACACGAGTCGTTTTGTACCGTTATAAAAAAAAGCAAAAATTACATTTGTAGTATAAGAACCCTTTAAATATTTATTTTCTTCGGTCTTAAGTATTTGTTGTTAGAGCGGCAACAGCAAGTGGCATTATCTGTGAAAGTTTCAACTGTCTAAGTGTCACGGGTCATGAGATATAAAAAACCCGACTGCGTAAAAACTATTTAAAAAAAATACATGTTAATATTATCTTCAAATAAAACTAAAAAAAAAGAAACAAGCCCAGTAGTTTAGAATTCTGTTAAGTAATACTAAATAACTACACAATTGAAATAGTTTTATAATCGATACAGACATAAAACAAATCATAAATTCTAATGCAGACTTTCCCAAGCCCCCCTGAAATGGTCCTCCCGTATTAAACTAACATAATACTATTCAATTTGTTAATATCCAATACCTTTTAATTGATTATTTAATGCATTAATATTTCCAAAATTTTACTTTTGAAGATCTCAATACAAAAAAAAACAGAAAAAAAATAATAGAAAAAAATGCATATGCCTTTTCCGTTCTAATAGTGATTGATATAGGAACCATATAAATACATAAATATTTTAATAGCTATATTTTTTTAATCCAACTGACAGATTTTAATAATTCACATTTTCGTCGGTATAACCCTTAGAAATTTGATGTAATTTTATTATTTTTAAGTAAATACTGTAACGTCCGTGCACATTACTATAGGTAGGTTTACTCTCCGGACAATTTATGGTCAATGCTGGCCGATAATATTTTGAATTATTACTTTTTCCGTATTCGAAATTGCGTGTTCGTGTTTTGCTGTATGATAATCTTTCTTTCTGATCGAGACCGGCATAGAGTCAGTATCTTACAATTTAGTTTTAGGTAATTTGATGTATATTTTTGCAAATAAAATTAAGACTGAAGAATTCTACCAGTATTTCATTGCACCATCCAGAGCTCTCGCTGATCACTGCATTAGAGTACCTACAGCTTATTATGACGTATCTCTGTACAAACCTCTTAGTAGTTTTTGGAGTACGCTCACTAATTAATTAAATTTTTGTTTAGGTTACTTTAATTATGTTTTTCCAATATCTCAAAGTTTATAAATAACATTTAAATTAATGGTTTTTCAATGTGTTCTAAATACTAATTAAATGACCTATCCCAATAAATATGTCAAAGAAAAAAATCTAATTGTATTTGTTTTGATTTTAATAAATCAAAGGAAACATTAATGTTCGGATGTCAATAGACTTCATTCACACAGGAACCATCCATTAAAGGATTCGTCCAGCTGTGAATTGTTTGTGTTATGAAGATTTTCGTATACAAGTCACGAATGTAAAAAGTTCTTATTTAAAGATGAAAAGCCGATTTAAAAGAATATCGATTAAAAACGAAAAATTCCGTTTAAACGGGTAAAATATTCATTTATTTTTTCTACTTCAAAAACTGTGTTTTCTATGATAGCTACATTTTATGCATGTCACCGAGATAGGCATACATAGATAAAAGCGATTTAAAACTGATTATAAATATAATAAAAATTGGTGTAATTTTTTACTTTTTAAACCGAACTCTAAACAGAATGCTTTTAATTTTTGAAGGTGATTTTCCCATTTATTTAAAATGGTTGTATTGGTTATTTAAATCGGGATATTTGATTAGAATCGTCTTTTCAATTATTTTAAATCTATTATTCTTATTGTTATAAAATACAAGTCCTTAAACAAACAGACGTTACGATTTTTATGTGATATAATATCTCGGTTATCAAATTTATTTGTTTATTTAGGACAATCAGTAATACATGAAATGATCCAAGCATAAAATGTATAACTATTACAATATATTACTAAGCCATTATTTTTAGATGTCACATCACTCGTTTAAAAGAAATAGGCTTACACCCGGTTTCTGAATTGAGAATTTGAAGTTGAGCATGTCTCACACCGTGCTTAAGTTATTTAAAACGTAAATTTAACAGGTTTTCATTACTGATTTATTATTTTTTAATGATCAATTGATAGCAATTTGATAAAACTAGGACTTTTTGCCATATGAAACGTAAAAAGCTTAAGTTATTTAGAATAATCAGTTGAGATTTTGTGCTTTTCTCAATTCAGAAACGGCGGAAAGGCCGGAAGTTATTAGTAATATAACAGTGTTATGTGTTATAATCACTTAGACAATTTGTCTTAAAAAAATACAATATTGTAAAATATAAAATCAAATAACAAAAATAATTTTATTTAGTAAGCATGGCAACTATATCTCTTGATAAACTTTCTAGAAAGTTTGGTGGAATAATTTTGATTTTGTAATGAAACATGAATTAAAAAGACTTTTAATATTTTCTACTTCAATACTTTGAAAATGCCGCTGAAGATATCAAAACATTGTAAATTCTTGAAACTCTAGCTATTGTTTAATGATATTTTAGTTTTGTCTGGATATACGAGTATGTAAACAGTCTCCCCTAGGTATTATATCCCCTGACTCTTGGCGACAGACATCTTGACGTAATTCCTAGCTACTTCATTTATAACCATATACTAAGACGTTCTGTCTAACTACAACTGTACTTATAGCAATGCTATTTTTTTATAAAACAGCCTAGAACACGACAATGAGCACATCGCTGTCACTGTCATCATCATTATCATTAGCATTTTACCTTCGCACTGCACCTTCTACTTGGAGGGTTATACTGACTGCAAATGCAGCCGCGACCAACGGCTTGAAGTGCTTTCTGAAGCTGACGATAATAATTTTTGGCCACCCATCCCGTGACCGACCCTTGTGATAGTTGCTTAACAAAAACGATTATTCACTACCTACGCCACTGAGCTGTCTCTGTGTTGAGGTTCAATCAATTAAATGCCGTAATATCCGATATCGAAAATCTAGTGATATGGGCTAGAAATCTATAGGTGACACCAATGTACCTAATTAGTTGAGGTCTGCAAGCCTACCGCGTGATAACGCTAATCAAAAAAGACTGCATACAATCCAATTTCAATCAAGTCTAAATCAATGTAGTTACGTAATAGGTGGTTGCCTGTCAGTTTCCAACATACTAATGCTACCTTTGAGTTGATCAACATTGTCATGGGACTAACGGCCGGTTTCTGAATTGAGAAAAGCACAAAATCTCAACTGATACTTAAGCTTTTTACGTTTCACATGG